TGGGTCTTCCTTTAGGCCTCCTCTCGGTTGAACGTGCCCGGAAAACCTCACCAGGGAGACGTCAAGGATGCATCCTGACCAGATGCCCGAGCCACCTCAACTGGCTCCTCTTGATGTGGAGGAGCAGCAGGTCTACTCCGAGCCCCTCCCGGACGGCCGAGCTTCTCATCCTATCTCTAAGGGAGAGCCCAGCCACTCTTCAGAGAAAACTCATTTCAGCCGTTTGTGTCCACAATCTCATTCTTTCGGTCACTACCCAAAGCTCATGACCATAGGTGAGGGTAAGAACGTAGATCAACCGGTAAATCGAGAGCTTCGCCTTGTGACTCAGCTCTCTCTTCACCACAACAGAACGTACAACGCCCGCATCACAGATGCAGCACCAATCCGCCTATCGATCTCACGCTCCAGTTTTCCCTCACTCGTGAACAAGACCCCGAGATACTTAAACTCCTCAATTTGGGGCAGGACCTCACATTCTACCCTTTTCCCAATCAAGACCATGGTCTCAGATTTAGAGGAGCTGATTCTCATCCCAGCTGCTTCACACTCGGCTGCGAACCGCTCCAGCGAAAGCTGAAGATCACGTTCTGATGAAGCCAACAGGACTACATCATCTGCAAAAAGCAGAGACCTGATCCTCAGGCCACCAAAACAGATGCCATCTACACCTTGGCTCCACCTAGAAATCCTGTCCATAAAAGTTATGAACAGAATCGGTGACAAAGGGCAGCCTTGGCGGAGTCCAACTCTCACTGGGAACGAGCCCGATTTACTGCCGGCAATGCGGACCAAGCTCTGACACCAGTCATACAGGGACCTAACAACCCGTATCAGAGGGCCTGGTACCCCATACTCCCGGAGTACCCCCCACAGGACCTCCTGAGGGATGCGGTCAAACACCTTCTCCAAATCCACACAACATATGTAGACTGGTTGGGAAAATTCCCACGCACCCTCCAGGATCCCCCTGGTCCAGTGTTCCACGGCCAGGATGAAAACCACATTGCTCCTCCTGAATCTGAGGTTCAACAATCCGACTGACCCTCCTCTCCAGAACCCCTGAATAGACCTTACCAGGAAGGCTCAGGAGTGTGATCTCCCTGCGGTCCCCCTTTTTAAATAAGGGAACCACCACCCCGGCCTGCCAGTCCAGTGGGATTGCCCCTGATGTCCACACGATATTGCAGAGCCGCGTCAGCCAACACAACCCCACAACATCCAGAGCCTTAAGGATCTCCTGGTGGATCTCATCCACTCCTGGAGCCTTGCCACAGAGGAGCTTTTTAACGACCTCAGTGACCTCAGCACCAGAGATTTGACAGCCCAACTCAAAGTCCCCAGACTCTACTTCCACAATGGAAGACGTGTTGGTGGGATTGAGGAGGTCTTTGAAGTATTTTGCCCACTGATCCACAACATCCTGAGTAGAGGTCAGCAGCACACCGTCCCCACTATAAATAGTGTTGGTAGCGCACTGCGGACCGTCAACAATGGCGGACTCACGGATCTTTGACAGCGGTGGACCAGCAAAACCCAAAATCCTCAACCAGCTTACCTAGTTATGATTTTTGTTACTAAGCAGGCCGGAGGTGTCTTCACTTTGGAGTCGCTCTACCGCTTTTTTTTTTTTTTTTTGCTAAAAACGTCTAAAAACTCAGCTAGTTTCGGGTTAGCAGTTAAAGTCCAGCTGATCTCCAACCATGGAGCATGAGCTGATGTAAAAGGCCACAGAGCCTGGCTATGATCACAGCGGTCTGAGGCTCTGCTCTGCTTGTAATTTAACTGTCCCGGTCCACATTGGATCTCCTTAGGCGATCGGCATGACTACAGCTTCATGCGGAAACCATTTGGCTGTGCGGGTGGGCTACCCAAGCTCTTTCTTAGCTTCTTGGGCTAGCTAAGTTAGCTTGTAGCAACATTGGTTTATTTTTTCCAACTGTAACAGCCCCACCCTTAGCTATACCTCTTTTCCCATTTTTGGATTGTCTGGGCGTGACAAAATGTGTGACACGATCGAAATGGCGGTGGTGAGAACTTATAATTCGAGCATATGGACCTTAATTATCTAGTATATTTGTCGATGGTACTAGCTTAATAAACTATTTTTGGTCTAAAATATATATTTGTGACAGGGTGAGCATCCTATCACTGTATCTTGATTGATCATGCACCCTGGCTACTTGGCCACAGGGCTGTCCCTTTGGCTGACCGGTTAGCACACTTGACTTTCACCCAGGAGTGGGGATTGGATCCTGCCTGGGCCCTCGCTTCTCCACCTTGCCGCATACAGACCTTTTTATCGTCTTTAAAATGAGTTTTCACAGTATAATAAAAAATAACTTTTTCAGGTGGACAGAATTCACAATGTTTAACTAATTCGTGTTAACTGAAATTTCTCTACATTTCAGTATTATAATATGTTATTTGCGTTGTACTACTTCCTAATATCAATCTTTGTCTTTCTTTTATCATTTTAGCTGTCATCCTTTCTCTCCTGCGTCTCTGCCAATAAAAAACATCTGTGTATCTCACATGTCTGCTATAATCATTAGCCTGAACACTGCAAGCTGTTGATTAAACAAACAGAAAAGAATGGTGGCACATCTAACGGCTAATTGGGTTGACATCAAGTCAGTGGTACTGTGTATTACGACTGCACCATAGAAAGGTTCAAACATCACTGTTTGTTAAAATGATTTGGAAGGTGAAACTTTGGGCAGCATTTTTAGTCTTCATGATTTTCCTGGATAAATCATTGGTTGGTAGGAAAAAAAAGTTCAGTTAAAAACATCATTTAGGAGAAACACGCAGTGATGTTTGAGAAGTGAAACCAAGTTTATAAGATTTACAGAACGTGTGTAATAATTGTATGAACAGAATCAGGCAGGTGCAAGAAATTTGGGCACCACAAAAAAGAAATTAACTCAATATTTAGTCGATCCTCCTTTTGCAGAAATACCAGACTCTAAATGCTTCCTCTAGCTTCCAATGAGAGTCTGGATTCTGGTTGAAATTATTTTTGGACCATTCTTCTTTACAAACATCTCTAGTTCATTCAGGTTTGATGGCTTCTGAGCATGGACAGCTCTCTTTAACTCACAACACAGACTTTCAATAATATTCAGGTCTGGGGACTGAGATGGTCGTTCCAGAACATTCTACTTCTTCCTCTTCATGAATGCCTTAGATTTTGAGCAGTGTTTAGGGTCGTTGTTGAAAGATCCAGCCCCGGTGCAGCTTCAGCTTTGTGATTCCTGGACAATGGTCTCCAGAATCTGCTGATACTGAGTGGAATCCATGCGTCCCTCAACTTTAACAAGATCCCCAGTCCCTGCACTGGCTACACAGCCCACAGCATGATAGAACCATGTCAGCTGACATCTCTTGCACTGGTGTGTTAAACAGACACTATTCAACTTTTTCGTATTTTTAAATAATTTACTTTAGACAGTAAGTGCTAAAATGACCCTTTACAGGGTATTTATCCCCATCGCTCCCAGTGGACAGATCATTCCACTTGCAACTTCACAGTGCCGATCCAGTCTGTAGGACTGTAGAAAAAATAATGGAGCTGACATACCTGACATTGCAGTCTGCTTCCGGCATGCCACCTGAATGTTTTAGACACAGCTAATTTTGTTTAATTTAGTGATTAATCGCTCCTCTAGAAACTAATGAAGGCTGGGTAAATATTTCAGCTGCAAAATTGAGGCGTTAAAAAGACACACAGTAAGGAAATAGGTTTGAATAGTGTTTGAACAAACACTAGGGGTGCTGCATGCAAGCCAAACTTGCCTAGTCTCCCTTTAATGTTTAAAAGGCAGTTAATGTCTAACTGAAGCTTATAAGACAATCCACACAGCGTAACACCATAGCTGGACCGATCCACCTCCTCCCTGTCAGTTCTGTTTAGCGTCAGGGTGTTTGGTCCTGTCACTGGCATCCTGCTGAGACCAACCAATCAATAAAGAGCAGGATATAGCAAACAGCTCCAATTGATTCTGTTTTTTCAAGCAAATTGGAACCCGCTCAAACTGCAGTCCTCCTGCGAGAGAACAATTGCGGGAATACTGTGGTGGAATGGCATTAACCACCAAACAGCACTCACACCACCGTGCACATCTATATTTATTGGTATATGTTGCACCCATTTTTCAATAATTTGCAGCATTGCTGCCGTTCTCGCTTCAGAGACTGAGTTCTGCATTGACGGTGTATCCAAAGGGCACATTTGTACCAAACTGTAAACTCAGTCCAATTGTGGCCGTCTTGTACTCACTTAGCTGAAAAAAAAAACAACCTCACAAACAAATAAGCCTGCACAGGTTTATACTGTGTTGTGTTGCTCATAAAGTCCTGTGTTTGACCAACATGATTAGAAATGGAAGAGTAAAGCAATTTATTAATCATCAGAACCTGTCATCTGCTACGCTTCCACACATGATACTGGAATTCACACGGAGAGATTTTCTGCACTTTCACATTATGAAATGTTTTGACAAGAGTATGGAGGAAGCAGAGCTTTACACAAAGCGTATTGCAGAAATAATTGTGTATCCAGATCTATTTGTACATTAATACACTGCAAAAACGAATTTTCAAGAAAGTAAGAAATGCCTCATTCTCAGACATTTTATCTTATTTTTAGTCAGAAAAGATCAAATATTTAGTCAAAACAAGAAATTTTGCATCATAGTTGAGAATATTTACTTGTGTTTTGTAGATAAGGATGTTTTTTTTTTTTGTTTTGTTTCTTTTTAGACCAAAAACATGATAAAATATCTAATACGAGGCTTTTTGAAAATCAGTTATGCCGTATCTGTTTTTGTTAGAGGAAACTCAGCGCTCCGTGATGATGTGTTTGTGGACTGGGGGAAATAATATGAAAATGGTGATGCTTTGGATTTTGTGGTAATATGTAGCCATCTGTTCCTTCCAAGTGTTTTAGTCCACTTCCAGTGATTTTTCTTAACATGCAGTGTTTCTGATTATTTTACCTTCTCCTTGGTGCCGGTCTGTGAGGTGTCAGGCCTGGTGCGGATGGTGAATGGGGAGGCGAGCCTCAGCAATATCCCTTGGAATGAAGGATCCATCTTGGGTGAGACAATCTCAAAACAGTCCCTAAACGAGAGGCTCCGGTGAGGCTCAATGCGAGCCTGTTTCCTCAGTCCCTCTCCGAGCTGCAGTAGCTCCATGCGAGGCCCCAGGACGAGGTGGAACGGAAAGGCACGGCAAAACGTAGCCAGGGAGATGCGCAGGTCACTGGGGTTGGTGGAGAGGGGTGAGCGGCTGGTGCTCGGTGAGGCAGAGTTCGGGATGGAAAAAAGGGAAGGGAGATTTGTCTCCTGGATTAGGAAGGAAAGACAAACTGTAGGAACAGAAGTTGGAAAAAGAGAAGGAGGGGATGGAGACGAGGAGGGCGAGACGGTGGGGGACGCAGTGGGTGTGGGGGTCGTGGAGTCACAGTCTGTGAGTTCTGTATCTTCGATTGGCAACAGGGGAGTTAGAGGTGGCACCTCCTCCACCTCCACTTCTGAATGATAGATCCGCCTGGCAACGGCTCTAATCAAACCTGGCATAACTAATCCGACAACAGGTGCAGGGTTGAAACAATGAAGAAGCAACACTTTCCCTCTTCCATCTCGTTCTCCACGCCTGCCAACTTTGTTCAATTTCCCTCTCCCTTTCTCCTCTTCGTGGGGATCCTTGCACTGGAAGGAGGGGCTCTCAGATGAGACGCGACGCCCTGTGGAGGTGCGAATGTGTTCCAAAATGGCGTCAAAACCATTGAAGAAATCCTGAAGGTTGCCGCCCACGGCCCGAAGTACTCGCTCATTTTCTTCAAAGCAGAGGCTGAAGAACTCCTCACCGAAATGCTCTCGCAGCTCGCAGAAGGGTACTCCTGTGAGAGGACACGAAACACCCTCATCAGCAGGGCAGGAATGCAGTCAGAGGATACACACTTAACATCATAGACCCTAACCAACACACACTTCTGCTGCCAACATGCAGAGAATCTAATCCAACAAGCCGAACCCCACTGTTCCACCTGTGATGTGTTTAGAGCAGGATTTAAAACATGAAAACTAATTCCTCTATTCACTCATCCTGATTCACTTAGGGTCACATGGAGCTAGTGCCTAATTCTCGTACTCATCAGGATGGAGGTGGAGGACACCCTGGACAGGCCGAAAGTCCAGACAGTCAACCAATCACACTCTCACTCATATCCAGGGACAATTTAAGGTCTTCAATTCACCTAAATGTGTGTTTTTGGTTTGTGGGAAGAAGCTGGAGTAACCAAGCAAAAAAACTCAAGCGTGCATGAAACCATGCTAACTGCACAGAAATGCTGCAGCCGGGATTCAAACTTGCAAATTTCTCACTGCAAGCAAACTGTGCGATGAACTGCAGCTTGTAGAGACCAAGTTCATTATTGTTTTCAACATATTTTCAGTGCTCTCCAGTATAAATGAATGCCTTGAGAGTTGGTTTCTGGGGGGAGCTCTGTCGCTCCTGTTTCAGGAAGTAGAAGTTAGCCAGAGGAGAGGAAAGTGGAAGATGGCAGGACTTGGAATCTTACATCCTGATATTTGGACATGTCTCTAATAAACTAACAGCAAAGAAACTTCACCACTGACTCTGTTTGCTTTGCAACGTTTATGTTTAAGGGTTAGGGTTAAGAACAGACCCTAAAAAAGATTACAATTTTTATTCAGAGAGATTTGAAAAAAGATGATGCAAGCATGGTTTGAACAACACAAACCAAATGGTTGAGTTGCAACCAAGTCTGTAACCAGAAATATTATTCCTTCTAACATTGTGATCATTTGCATGTAAAATAATTTCTGATTTTCTAATTCTGGTGAACAGCTTTACATTTGGTGGTGAAACAGAATTTGATCTCTTAAAAGTGTTCAGTAGAGTGGTTGGGTTAGAAATCAGTTTTATACTTTCTAAAAAAAATAACACGAGGTGCCGTCGAGGTCAGAGAAAGATAGCCTAAACTGAAAGTGTTTGAGAGGGGAAAAAAAAGTAATTTGATGTCAGAAACTAGTTTGTGTTTATGTGGGCATATTTGACTGCTAAACTTGTAACTTTTAGTAGCATGTAGCTATTAGCTATAGCTAGTAGCTGGTAGCTAGTAGCTAGAAGAATGCAAAAACATGAATCACTCACTGCCTAAAGCCAACCTTGTTTCATAAAATGACCAAAGCTAGCTGGCATATGTAGGCAAAAAATGTCTTTCAGTTTAACTGACATTGAGCTTGATTTTTGTGACATTTAAAACTCCAGGTAATGTGCATTTTTTGAAGAAATACTGAGCCTTCAACAGTTTCTCTGACTTGTGGGGTCAAATCAGAGAAAAGAAAGCCAAAGATAATTAAGTGTCAGCTGTTGGGGGAAACCGAGAATATAAGGGAAATGTTTGTTAGACATCATAAATGAAAGTAATTAATACCATACTAGATCATTAATGGATCATTTTCAAAGAGAAAAGAAAGTAATGGAAGTCAGAAACGGAACACAAAGTGCTGAAGAGTAGCAGCCGTGGGGAGCACAATGCCTGCGCGCTGTGAGCTTGGAGTATTAGTCACGATGGAAGAAATAGTGCACCATAGTGAACAAACATTTTTAATGAATTTGAAACATTTAATGATCTCGAAATTATGAAAAGAAGTGATTAATGGGGTGGTTGACATTTGCAGTGATCTCTATAGGAATCAATGCCTTATAAGTCGTTCTCTGAGGAAAGAAATATACCGGTGCACCATTTCTCAGACCTAAGTGCCATCACAGCTGAGCCTCACACGGCAGGTTTTGGAGTCCTATTTCCTGATATTTGGACATTTCACCTAAGATTGGATAACAGCAACGTTGATGTTTTATCTCCATAAATAACACAAGCCTGCTAGGCTTCTGCCGTGACATAGTGTTGCTAATGCTAATGGTTAGCTTAAATAGCCAAGACCAGCCTTCCCCATCCTGAGTCAGTGAATGTTAGGTGACCGTGTTAAGTAGATCTGTGAGGATTTTCAAATCCTAGATTTTCACCGTCTATTTTCCATCAGAAGCTAATGCAGGAGATAAGTGTAGGAGACCATTTTCATGTTCAGCTTGTATGAAAACCTCTGAGTGACCGATTATAATCAGTCAACCACACCTTTAAGGCTGCTTTGAGACTAAAAGTGAATTTCTGCATTTAAACGTCAAATAGTTTTTTTTAACTGAAAGAACTGTTATTTTAGTTAGATTTAGTAATAGTTTAATGGAGGTGAATTATTTATGCGTCATTATAATACTTTGCTATCGGATAGTCATACAGGCGGAAGGTGGAGGGGAGTAGAAAGATGTATTGATATTTGTTTCATAATATAATCACAACCCTCTGATTCATGATTGAATCAACCTATGAGGAGTCAAGGTCCCACTCCTGCTTAAGACACATTTAATGGAAACAAAAGTCAAAACAACAGTTAACATGCTCACCTAGTATAGTCCCCATGTACTGAAGAATTTGTAAGACGTCTTCCTCTGAGCCAGAACTTTCCAGAAATGGACACTTCTCCTCTTTCTTTTCTCGTCGTCGTTCCTCACTTTCAACTTTCTGACACCTGCAGGTTATACGAAGCCAAGGTAACAGGGACACACTCAGAGTAATGTGTGGGTGTGATGCAGAGGAGATGGGACAGGATGTAAAAATAAACGCAATATAAAGTTCCTCAGGTGCTATTTTTTTCACAGCGTGTATTTGTTTTTTTAGGACTGCAGAGTAGAACGAGGAAGAACTAGTAATTATGGAGTAAAATAAAATATTTCTAAAGTACATAAAATTTTGTTTCAAGCAACTGTTTTGGGGAATTCTAGAAGTTGCTTGAGTCATCCTCTTTCGAGTTTCATACAAAGTGAAAACAACAGATACCAAAGTGTAAAGCCGAGCGGTGCCAAACCGATGTCTCTGCATCTGTATGCAGGCTGTGCTTTGTGAACGGTGTTTATCAGTGTTGTGCCTGGCTGAGCGCACTCTGCTGGGTTTTACTGTTTTGACAGAGGGGAGACAAGAGGTGAAGGAGTGTGTCTTGGTGTGTGTGTGTGTGTGTGTGTGTGTGTGTGTGTGTGTGTGTGTGTGTGCGTGTGTGTGTGCGTGCGTGCGTGCGTGCGTGCGTGCGTGCGTGCGTGTGTGTGTGCGTTTCTGGTTTGTGACCAAAACAGGTAAGAAGAAGAAGACGATGAGAATGGGGAGTCCCAGAGACAAACGCTCACGACTGAACAGGTGTATGACGTGTGACAGGCAGGTGTGAAAAAATAAAGGCTAATGTGTAAGAAATGTATGACAGGGACAGCTGGGACACAGCACTGTAGGTGGACATGAAGGAAGAGTCTTGAAGACAATCGGAAAATAAAGCGATGGTTTGTACCTGATCTCTTGTTGTCTGTAGAATTGAAGAGTTCGCTGAAGAGCTTCCTGAACAGTCTGTGTCTGCAAGAGGAAGAAACGATTTAACAACATGGCTTCATGGCACTTCAAGTGAAAAGTGTTTAAAAAATTACTACACTCTAAGAAATGAAGGTTGAATTCACTTTAAAACATTTATTTCGACTGGTTTCGCTAAACCCAGTAGCTTAAATGTAACGAGAAATAAACATTTACTTTTATCATAACACCTTATAACATTATTTCTCTTTACATTTAAGCAGCTGGGTTTAGTTGAACCAGTTAACATGACTTACTTAAGTTAATTCAACATTTCTTTTCTTACAGTGTACTTACTATCCTACATGTTGTAGAAAGCATCATGAAAGGCCTCAGTTTGGAGAAATAGACATTATATCCTGCATAACTGATAGACTGAGAGCGAGTTCAAGAGCAGCCACGTCCAAAGCCAATTTAAAGTTAAAGCCTCGTTAGTCATTACATATTGGTGAAATTTATCTCCACATTTGACCCATACCGGTGGTGAGCAGTGAGCTGCAGCAGTAGCAGCACTTGGGAACTATCTGGTGGTTTAACCTACCCAATCCAACCCATTAAAGCTGGGAGGCATTGGGTCCCATTTTTAACGTCTTTGGTATGACCAGACTGGGATTTGAACCCTGATATCCCAGTCCCAGGGTGGACACTCTACCACTAGGCCACTGAGAAGGTGGCCAAGGTTTCCTCCATCAAGAAACAATGCCTATCTCCCAGATGTGGCTAGTTTTAACCACAACATAAAGTGAAATTGTATGAAATGAGATTGCATGAATTAGCTACTATGAAAGTTTGAAGACTGGAGCCTTTTTAAGATGGCAGCAATACACTTTGGTCTTGGCTGTGCCTGGACTACTCATTAGCTTATCAGTCCTGCAGGATGTAATTCCTACTTTCCCAAACTGAGTCCTTTTAAAAAGACGTCTAATTATAACTGTTACATAAAGACACACTTAAACACAGCTGGAAATTTTATTCCAATCAACACTAGTTGAGTTTTCATTTATATTTTCAGTCACTAAAATAAACCAGAGTCTCTGTATGATTTTAGCTCAATGAAAATTTCCAAGTCTGTTAAAGTGACAGTGTGTAGTTTCCCTGGCGATAGGGGGCAGTACATACCTAAATGATTGCAGGCGAGCATTATTGTTGTGTTCAAGTAAGACCTTACCAACGGATGGTCATTAGGGTCAAAAATCGCTGGAAGCACAACCTCCAGCAAAATAACAAGAACATCAGATTCCCTTTCATCACTGGCAACGAGTGAAGAGGTAAATGTGTAAAACGTTTCTCAATGCTGAAAGTTTTGTAACCATTTGTTACAAATCAGTAAATGCATTTGGGCTTCCATAGAAGGAAACATGGCATCCAATATGGCGTCGCCCAGAGACTTAGACCCGCACTCATGTATTTAAGAACAAATTTTTATGGTTATATCTTATGAAATGCCAATATTTTTCATCAACTGGGCATCTTTTCATTAATTTACAACAACATTTATATGGATATTTCTCGAGATTAATGGTAAAAACTACACATTGCCACTTTAATGTTTGTTACAAAAACTAACTTCTAGTTTATGTAGCTGAATCTATAAAAACAATGCTAAACACACATCTGACAAACATTCATTATTGTATTTGAAATAATAACTTCATTCTCAAAAGGCTAATAGCTGAAAACGTGCCATATTGGATGGATCAAATGAAATATGCAAAAGTCTTAAGCCTTGGGCAGGGGTGTCCTTTCAGTGCCACATTACAACTAAAAGTAAATGTTAACTAGAAATGAGTTTAGAGATTGGGTTGCCTCTGCACTAAGGTGAAAATGATCCACAACAAGGCAGACAAAAAATAAATAAATAAAAATGATCCACAACAAGGCAGACAAAAAAAAAGTGTCACCTAACAAATCTATATTTAATGTTTCTCAGAAGACATGTTGACAAGTCAGATTGAATCTCAGGTGTGTACAACATAATAACAATAGCTGAATTCCAGCTGCAGAGTTTGGAGAAATCTTTAATGTGAAAGATCATATTATCATCCCTGAAAATGGATAAAAACACATTATTTTATTCTTTAGATGTCAATAAAAAACTCAGTTTTGCCACAAGAGATCACATGTTCACACATTATTTAATACTGTTTTAAGAGGAAAAAAGAATCAAATCAACCAGACCAAAATAATGTTTCCAGATTATCAGAAGACACACACAGCTTGATGGTCTGTGTGTGCAGCTGGCATGTTTTGCTTTACTGGCAGCCTAAGCTTTAGTGGGCGGGTCCAATGTGATTATCTGCGATGCGGCTGAAAGGCACGGCTGTTGGGACAATCAGGAACACGGCGTGCCAGCTGGAGAGGTCACTCTGAGACCTTCGACCGCTCTGGACATACAGACATGGTTCTGAGAGTTTGTGCATTTGCGTCTCCTTGGGTATTTGGAGCAGACGGAAAGAAAGTAACAAAGATAGTAAATTATGAGGGCAGTAGGGCAAAATGACATGAAACAGAGCTGAGACTTCAGCGTAGGACGTGGAGGCAGAGAAGACATGTTTGTGAATATGTTTCTTGTATTATAGTTACCGGGTTATGAACCACAACCATACATGAGTGCACCCATGCCTGGAACTGTTTGTCCTTGATGCAGCTACTCTTTGACAGCAGAACCTGCTCCATGTGTGCACACGAGACAGAAACTGTTATCACCAACAGGTTTGCACACATACGCAAACATGCTGCACACATACATCACTATTACTTTGCTTTGTCACTACTTCGGCATGTTTACTGTACACACATCTTGACACCCAGGCACACATTAATCTCACCGAGTCACGTATACAACCTGGCTTTAGGTGGCGGGGTCTAACTAACCAAATCAAGGTTGTGTGGTTTTTAGAGATGAAGGGACAAAATTCACTAAAGGAAACAATTAAATGGTTTAGCCAAATGCAACTGTTCTATTAAAGTCAGATTGAAAGCAGTCGTGGAGTAGTGTCTTACAAAAGGCTGCTTTTGCTCTATAAATGAGAATTTACCTCACATGTTGACTGAGTCTTATCAGAATGTCCTAAATATTCTGAGAAGATCCTCCGGCTGATTGCTAATCCTACTCCCAGAGTTCTGGTTAAATTTTGGAGAAAGCATATTTCTTGAATTTTAGAATCACTTTATTTTTTCAAATCCAGAACAGAAATTAATTTTTACTTCTATCATCTGAAGCTCCATCTTCTTCCCGATACATGTATTCCCAACCAAGCTCTTCACTCTCAAGCTTTCAGTTATCAACATTCCTGTTCAATGGAGCCAACTTCTGTTAAGGTTAGCTTTATCCTGACTCATCCCTTTAGTTATGCTACTTAAGGTTTAAGCAGCTGGAGGACTGACCACATTTCCTCACTCTGTCTTTCTTTAGATTTTTATTGAGTCGATGCTGCTGTGTCTACCACTGGGGAGCAGGATTGGATAGGAGAACGTAGGTAGGAGGAGGAGAAGAAGTGCATGAGGGAGTTCAAATGAATGCCTGATACTGCTACATGTGACGCAGGTTCGAAATAAAGTTAGGAAAAGAAATTCTCGCCTGTTCGTGCTACTTTCTGATACAACTGCTGAGCATAACAGGTGCAGCCATGAACTTTGTCTTCTCTGTTTCTTCCAAAACAATGACTGGTCCAACCGTTCAGTGTTTATGTTATGTTGTATTCCCTGTCCTCTCAGATCCTAGTCACCCAAGCCAGTAGCTTAGTTCTGGTTCTGCTGCAGGTTTCTTCCCGGTAAAGAGTGCTTTCCCTCCTAATGTTAACTACTGTGGTGTACTTGCTCAGGATGGGCGATTGCTTTGAAGTAAAGAGTTGATGGAATCTGCTGGTTTCATTTTATAGAGAAAATGTTACTTATTGGTTTTAAAATGTACTGAGTCTGATTCCATCCATTTTCATTCACTTCTTCATGTTCAGGCTGCTTCTATTCTTGTTCTTTTGGTTATTATGCAAAGCTCACGACCTTGGATGAGGATTAGGATGAAGATCTACCAATAAATGCAGAGCTTTAATTTCTGGCTTAGCTACCTCTTAACCACAATGAACCGGTTCAGCATCCACATCACTGCACCTGCCACCCCAATCCTGTGGCTCTCCTGCTCCCTCTTCCCCTCCTTTGAGCCTGAGATCGGTGGATTCACTGATCTCCTTCAAAAAGCAGCTGAAAACTCACCTGTTCTTTTGCGTGACCTTCACCACCATCCTCTCCATTCTGTTCTTATTCCGCCTTTACCGGGATCCATTGATTTCCCTCTTTCCTATTCATTTTCTCTCTCCCTTTCCTTGCATAATTTTGTGTTCTTTTCTCCTTTTGAACCTATTTTTTAATCCTTTTTAAAATCTTTTTAGACCTTAATTTTGTTTTTGTGATGCATCTCATTTTATCTTGAGAGGCGCTATATAAAAGATCTTCTTCTTCTTCTTCTGTGAAGAAGACCCCAAGATAAACTCCTCTACTTGAAGTAAGACCTCTCCCCTGACCTGAAATTTGTCATCGACCCTTTTAGAAACCATGACCTGAGATTTGGAGGTGCAAATCCTCATCTCAACCACTTCACACTACGCCAGTGGTACTCACTCCTGATCCTGGAGAACCAGCATCCAGCACGTTTTCCTTGTTTTTCTACTCCAGCACACCTAATTCAGTGGTTGAATCACCTTTGCATCAGTATATCAAACTCCTCAGAAGTCTGTTAATCAACTGCTGATTTAAATCAGGTGTGTTGAAGCAAAGTTAAAACAAAAACTTGCTGGATACCGGCTCTCCAGGACCAGGAGACAGTGCCACTGCATTACTGTCTATGAACCTGCCTAGCAACAACTGAAGATCAACATTTATTGGAGCCAAAATGGCCACATCATCCACAAAAAAACAAGATTTCTAAACTACTCTGCTATCATGAACTGTTGTAGTCTGGTGTCACACAGCAGTGATTTAACACAGCTGGAAACCTGCAAACATTTCAA